GAGTGCCGACAGCTTCGAGTGTGCATAATACCGTTTACTTCGACTATGCTAATTGATCGTTGATTAAAAGTACGTGAGATAGCATACTTAGTAGGTATTTCAAAAAGTGCGGATTATCGTGTATTATTTGATAACTTGGATATGAGAAAGCTACGTGCAAGATTGGTGCCGCGTTTGCTCACACTCGAGATGTTTCAATTGAGTGTTTAGCGAAGTTTCACAGCAACAAAGCAGAATTCTTGGGTGGTTTTCATTGACTATCCTAAAAAAGGTGAAACTATCAACGGCGAGTATTATGCGAACTTATAGCAAAGTTCGAGTGAAAAAATCAAGCAAAAATGGCCGCAGTTGGCTAAGAAAAAAGTATTGCTCACACAACTATTTTCTGTTTCCAAACTTGAAAAAATGACTCAGTGGTCAAAGATTTTCCAACCATGAAGAAATGATGTCGGCAGTTAATGGCTACTTTTGAGGATCAATACAGTTCTTATTATAAAAACGTTATCGAACTTATTGAACGTCGCGTCGCTGGGAAAAGAGTATAGAGCTGCAAGGAGATTATGTTGAAAAATAAATAAATACATTTCCAGGGCCACCCTCGTAATGGTGAATGGTATTTTAAACTTTAACATTAAATGGATGAATGTGAATCACGTATTTTTTCATGAAATTATTGTACAATGTTTTTAAAAGATATTGAAATTATTTTGAATGATCGATAATATCTGTTAATCGAGTTTCTGAACTGTGATATTTAAAATATATTTCTGCGATTTATCTTCAAAAGAATCATTTTCTATCGGAGTTTGCTATTTCTTGTACAGTCCTATTCAACACAATAAAATCCCGAAAAATTATGGTGGGAAAAAGGTATTCAAGATTTTATAGCATGCACTGGTTCGATTTTTAAAATTACCCATTATTCAAATTGAACTTTGCGTAAAATAACTCAGAATTCATCATTGGTTCTGAAAATACAATCAAGGTCATTCTCTCACGTCCGATATTGTGCTATGACGGTTTAGTCATTTCGAATTCAGGTCAGTCAGTAATAGCGTCAAAGTCCAAACATCTTTATTGGGTATACCAACGACAATCGTCGATGACATATTTCTGAAGAATTGCCACGATAATATCTGTGAATAAGGAAATCAGTGACGTCAATAGCTTCCAAGTTGTTTCCGTTAAATTCCAGATTTGCAAGTATTCTCTTTCTAGTCATAGCCGCTTCCAGGAAATCAGCAGGCCTTGACACCCTGAGAAATATGGCTTATTAGACATGCTATATTTATAATTCGTAGGTAGGATCAGAGCAGTCAGTTACGTATATTTATTGAAGTAAAACATCTTTACGCGTGCTCGACTTGAGGAGTAAGCTGGTTCAATCTCACCGACGTTTCTACAAAGTCTCATTTGTCATCATCTGGATATTACTGTTAAGTGTTCGGAAGTCGGTCGACCCTAATCGATCCGCTCCCTACTATACTGGTATAATGATGTTTGCTTTAGTTGATGTTGAAATATCCTTGGTTATATCATCTGCCATAAAATTCACCCAATAACAATAACAATAATAGTAATCATTCAGTAATAGCAGATATATGTCCTCACTAACGATTCCTCAACTTAGTTCACTCGGGTGTAAACCATCATGTCAGAAGACACGGAGCTATATAGAAGTTAATTAACATTACAAAACTCCCTACAATAGATATATTGGTAGATTTAGGCATTAACTAACATCAACATCCATCTTGTTGGAACCAAATTGTAACCATCACTTCAATAACTATTTCTTGTTACAGTTTCAATCCGCGAAACAACTAATCAGCCGCCATGGACGCGATCAAGAAGAAGATGCAAGCGATGAAGCTTGAAAAGGACAACGCTTTGGACCGCGCAGCACACAATGAACAGCTCGCCAAAGATGCCAACCTCCGCGCTGAAAAGGTAAACAAGAACTCTTCTCGTATATACATGTTTACCCCCTTCAACAAAAACCCCCAGAGATTTCTGCGAAATAGGTGAACGCGAGGGTTTCATCTTTCAAGGACACAAGACACTTTTAATATTCTAGATTATCGATGTAGACTGCAACAGGAGGGAAAGTTAATCAGGATCTTGTAAGATCAATGTAACACGTATATAGTACTGATGCTGAGACCTTTGGTCAGTTTTCTCTGGGCCAGTTCCTTATGTCATCAGAGTTTCCCCTTCAATAATTTGTTGGACCAGAGCTTGCCTTTTTGCAAAGTGAAAACTTTGGTCTCCTCGCAGGTTCTGTAAGAAGTTTCCTATCAATCTCATGCAGCCTTAGAAACTTTTTGGTTTTGTTTGGTAACAAGGTAATCATCTTTTTCGCCTTCATCTATTCTGGCACATTATTCCAGTGATATATATTGTTTCATAGATGGCCACTTCTCACTCAAGATTGTTTCTGCGATGGCCAACCCATTCATCATCATTCATGATCTACCAAAGTACAATAAACATTTGTGGAGATCTAAATAGCGGTGTCTGATACTGAATCATGAAGTCAACACTCTTTGGTTATGGTATCATCTGAACAGATTTTTCAATCAATCTCTAGTACAGAAAAAAGTTCCGGGATAGGGAAAAGGTATTGACTACCAACTTCGCAAAGTTTTTGACTTATGTTTTCAACACAACTTGACTGTCTGGGGCTGGTGCCCCTTTTGGAGGATTCTTAAACACTTCCAAAGATGAAGAGGGCGATTCCAAGGGGTTTGTATTTCAGCCCTGTGACTCCCCTAATCTAAAGATGTCTAACTGCTATTTGAAAGTATCTTCTTCGTTACAAGCGTATCAACTCTTTTGCAGGCTGAAGAAGAAGCACGCTCTCTACAGAAGAAGATCCAGGCTATTGAAAATGATCTCGACCAAACCCAGGAACAACTCACACAAGTAAACGGAAAATTGGAAGAAAAGGAAAAAGCTCTTCAAAATGTAAGTAGTTGCTTTTTTATTCCTTATCCTTCATGAAAAATAATTCAATTCAAAGGAGTGTTCAATATATTCATATGTACTTGGCGTGTGTCTTAAGTCAAAACCTCACGAAGCGAAGACCTTTCTTTCCCAAAAATTAAATTTTTCTAAAAATATACCCATTTAATATACAATTAATTTCGACTTTACTTTCTTTCCATTTTTCGACATAGAAAATATTCAAGGCCCATTTGTATAGATCATTTTTGAAAAGCTACTAGGTTTACGATCCAATTGATTGAAAAAGTTAAACTTTCGTGATAAACTATGCTGACTTCTTGATCAATTCACTTGCCTCTATCTCTGAATACAACCAAGGACAAAACTGTCTAACGTTTTGTTTCGTATATATCAATTATACCATTTCGAATTTCCCATCAATTTCTCTCTGCACAAATTTTAAGTTATTACTTACGTTAAAAAAAATTACACCCACTTTTCACTAACTACGACAAAAATATACAACTTTGTTATTTATTTGAATGATCAGAAAAGTCCGATTTCACTTGTCTCACTGCAACTTCAAAAATATCTGGCAACAATGGATTTACTTCAATGCCAACCTTATCTGAAGGGAAAAAAACAAATACGACAATGAGAATCATAAGAAATTTTCGTGAAACATCAAAAGTATGCTCGAAAATGAATGGAAGAGTAAATACTTGGATCCCGCGATGTATTGTAATTGAAATTTCCCTCCTAACCTCACTAATATAGTCTATTTGTTCTTATTCTCTGCTCGACGCTATAGATGAGGAAATATTTGGTCAATTTCTTCACTGATTCTGGACTGTATCCTTGGTTTACCAAATTTCATGATTGCACTGGGCTGAGAAAATAAATATATTTCTTTATTATATATTACCAACATATAAAATGAATATCACCAACAAGTAAGAAGAAGGGGTTATAAAATGACGCGTACAAATAAAAATTGGTATCAACTCCAGCTACGTAATTTCTTTCCTTTTTAGCGTGTAGACCCATACAAACTAGTTCCATTGTATAAACTATCCTTCGCACATTAGCGGCTAAATACTATGCCACGCGTTTCCGAGGGTTCTAAAAATACACCAAGAACTCGATCGCTCGCCAAATATGGTCCGATCCCTCGTCGTCTGCGCCTGTGACGCAATCTCACTGTATCATTACTTCTCGCTCTTTTCACGTAACACTTAAAAAATGTGGGTCAACAATTCATCATCAACGAATTCGTCAAGAATCTGCAAAAATTTCACCAATTTCACTTTGCAACGTTGGTTGCATACGCCGCAGGACTTGCAAGCATTCTTGAGCGCTTGCCAGACGCGCTGTTGCCAGATCAAATTTCATAATTTCTTTAGATGATTTTACCACAAATCTTTTGCGTTCTTTTATCAAAATCATATTCAGTAACTTTCACCTAAGGTAAACTATTCAGAAATGGGCTAGATGGCTCCAATGCGATTTCAGTATTTAACAGAAAGGTTTTGAAATGACACTTGAGACCATTAACCTCACTTGGTGACTTTCAACTAGAAGTTATCTTGCAGTACATTCATATTAGAGCCGAATACGCATGTAGACACATTTTGATATTGATTTGATTTGATATAATTGGTTCAATTAGTTTTCAAAGACTATTTGGCCGAAATTATTATATATGTAATAAATAATAAATCTACTGACTGATAGCCAAATTCGAAGGAATGCTTCAACAAATATTATCAATGACTGGTCCTCGGTAACTTCAATTGTCCTGTAGATTTCTCATGATAGGAACAGAAAATTATTATTTTCATGAGTTGTAATCAAATTCCTCAAATCCTAAGTAATGTCTTCGCATCTGGCAACGCTGCAGACCGCGTTAACGCGTCTAGTGCGTGTATTTCCCAATATCGAAGTGTATTTGCGTTCACGATCAAGCAGGCTCGCCATCGGTCATTAGTGAATTGTTTTTTAATGCGACGTTTCAACGCTACCGCGTGTTCCGGCGGTTCACGTGGCCAGCGGATGACGCCACAGGTGACTTAGTTCGGTAGACAGCCGTCGCGCGCAGCGCCAGTGAGTTCAAGATGGCGGATGAGAGCCGCACGCGTTGAAGTGTCACCCTATCAAAATGTCAACACAGAGGGCGGCGGGGAGTGCGAAAAAAAGGGGACACCAACACCACCCCAGGAACGAAGGTAACAGAAGAAGAATGGCCCTCGAGGAAAGCCTGCTGATGAAACAGAGCGAGTTTGGTAGAAATATCGCAGTGACAGTGCAGAAGTCAACAATAACAAACGAAAACGTAGCAAAAGAAAGCAGTGCCGCAGCTGGGAACAACCCGATAACCCAAAAAGTCAACAATTGTGATATTGAAGTGATAGATTTAACCAATTGTGATGACGACGTAATCCCTAGTAGTAGTAATAGTAAACAGATAGACGAAAATAATAGCGACAGTTCCGCAAAAAATGTCAAAGACGACCGTAGCAACAAAACACGCAAACCTAAGAAACAGAAAGTGGTCAAAGTAGAAGAGCCTGAGCAAGACATGTCCCTCGTCCACCGACCCGAAGCCGAAGGGTCCAGCCTCAGTGATCAGGAACAGGAGGAATCCGTCCTGGATCCTGAAATGGAAGAATTATCGAAGCTCCGCTGTACGTCTGAAATGACTGAAGTGGTAGCCGAGAGGGAGAAACGTCGCAACAGGCGGTGTGCCGACTATCCAGGTCTGGCTTTTAGCTCCATATTCAGCTCGGACACGCTGATGAGGTTCACCTTGATCAGAAACGAGCTCCAGAATATTATGAATACGCAGCTCAAGAGGGTAGGTCCTTGTATTATTTATTTTTCGAATGTCAGATGAGCGATGACTAGTCGGTTTTGAACAACTGTGATCTATCGGGAGCGCAACTTTTGGGTATTTTTAGAATTCAAATAGACAAACCTTCACAGACATGCGCTTTTTGTAAACATCTAAGACCCCAGCCTCGAGGGTGAAAACTGTCAAATAACAGCTGTTAGACGTTATGCATGGTTGCCACATCACATGATGTCGGGGATTTGTATGTAGTAATGTCGCTATAGAATGTTTTTGCTACTTATTTGCAGATGGCGTTTTTATTAGACTGCTTCAAATTCATTTTGATTACTAATCTGGCGGAGGTTTAACATCTATAAATTATAACTTTCTGGTACACTGAACTTCTAGTTGATACACATTGATAATTTTGAGTATTTTCAGAGGTTATCATTGAAACATATGGTTTCCGCACTTTTTAGTGTCAGAAATAAGCACTCAAAGTTTGAAAATTCATCCACTTGTTCAACTATTGAAGTTTTTATTTGGTTCACGCTTAAGGGACATTCAAATTTTTTATGTGAACTTTCTATAATGATATCCTATAATGAAAATTCAACATTATACCTGTTAAATGAATATTATTATGCATAATGACAAAAAAGGTTCAAAGAGATTATAGCATCTGATTCATCTATATATACATGCGCCTATTTTGAACATTTTACAATATATTTTCAAGAAAAAATGACAACATGGATATTTTGTAGATTGAAGTCGACCATACAAAAATGTTTTTATACAGACTAAAAATTCCACAATAAATAAAAACTTCTCGTCATTTCAAAACGATTTAAAAAGAATCGAATTTCCGAGGTAGCAGAAATGGTTTGACATACTAGTAAACTGATAATTTTGATAGTTTAAATGAAACATATATTTTTGTTTGGAACATTACTTGAATAAATCAAGTCTCCTATGAGTAATAGGGTATAACTGATATGGTTACAGTACAAACAAAAGATTGAATTAATTCGAGTGTTACATATGTCAAAACTCCTATAGATTCATATGAATATTTTGACGTTTATTGGATTGTTTGTGTATGTACATAGATGTATAGTAAAAGAAATAATGACATATGCTCCATAATATTTTTTTCATTCAATTATGTTTTTTCGGATTTTTTTTACACTTTCATAGCCATTTGTAGGGCATTCTGAGATTTGGTTTACTCAAATGTAATTTCAGTTTGATTTTTCTGGAAAGTGGGATGAAAAACTTTAATAAATTTTCATAAATTTTTTCAAGGTCGTTAAAATGTTAATGGTTCTTTATTATCAAAACAGATATCACGCCATATTTAAAAATATCAAAATTGAAAAAGGAATCTCATAAATACATGAATATTGAAAAGTTAAATAATTCAATTTGTAATTGTTTGAGTAGATTAGAAATGACTTTCAAAAATTTAATTCTGTGTTGAGCATATTTTATATGAAAGAATTATCTCTTCAATTTATTGGCAAATTTAGCCAAAACGGCTGAGAAATTCTGTAAGGGCGAATCCTGAAAAATTACCGACAAAAATGAATATCCTTTTGTCTAATTCCTTATCGAGGGGGTCAAAGATAAAACTTGGATAAAGTTTTCACATTGAGGTCACTTTCATTTGAACATCTATCATATTTTTGAACCACCTTTGGTACATTATATTCTGCATTAACCTAGGAATAAAGAGATATTTGTTTTGTAGGACTACTCTTTGGACTGCTTTATTATGCTTACTCTTCTTCATTATTAACATCTGAGAGTGTTTAGGATAATATATTATGATTCTCCTGATTATCAACTTTATTCAGAACACCAGTCTTGATTATTTATTGCTTTCAATTTTCAGAGGAAACAGTTATATTCTGGTTTACCAAATGTACAAGTTCTTGTCAAGTTTAAATTTAATGGGACTTGTTGAAAGACCGGAAATTTTGTTGACATTTACCATCTCCTTCAGCAGTTTTAGAATTGGTTTGATTAGACTGTCGAAAAATAATGTTTGGAGCTGAAAGATTGTGACTGCTCTTACACCAAACACCTTGATGATCACAGAGAATTGATTTAAATATTTTTTGAAAACAAAAAAAAATATATGGCTCCATATGTTAGAGCAATGTTCAGCAACAACATTCATAACATATGACATATAAGCAGAAGCGAATTATTAAAATCAATTCGATCTTTCGTTAGAAAAATGAATTTTTAAAGTTTCAATTTCTTTATCTTCCAGAAAGTTGTATTTCATACTTTCATTTACCTGTCTTCACGAAAAATCTGCATATCAATGGCAAGAATATATTCAGGAATAAAATTAAACAACATAATTTCTCTCGACAATCTCTGATCGCAGGTATAACAATAACGCTGATTAAGGGGCAACTACCTTGATCCCTTTCCCTACACACGCCTATGATCCGGCATTCGTTGGGCCTTGTCCCCTGTGTTTTGACCCGTAACGGGAGCTAATTAAACAAAGCGTTTCCTTGCTCGCATTGTATATTTCGAACACTTACTATTCCCATTTTTATCCATCGACAATTTCCAATTCATTTACCACGCGAATTCGAATCTCTGAATGGGATGGAGATTGCGGTGTTGCCAGATATTTTAGAAATCCTCTACAACTCCAATTAGAACGCCAAAAATCATCAACAACCCAACCTTTCATTCAGTTTCTCATTCATTCATGCTTGCAAACTGCAAATTTCATCATTCACTTTTATATTGCGGTACAGACGATACAAATTCTCTGTGTATTAGGTTCGGTTTATTTCATGCAATGTTATTTATGTTACAAAATTGATCTTTGGATGCATGATTGTTATTTGCTATGTCAAAGTCTACCATTACTGACAAATATCAACTTTTTCGCTGTAGCGCCACAGAAAACACTTCATCGATTACACTCAAACAAATAAATAGCTAAATGATCTAATTTTTGGCATTTATACTTCAACTACTACTTTCTAGCTTCAATCTCTTTGTGTTTTTCGTGATATGAAGAGAAAACCGCCATTCCGTAAAGTTATTATCAACTTCTTCAAATCTAATGAAATTTCTTTGCCTCCGGCAACGCTGCAGCAACTGCCATGCCCATGTCAAAATCGTCGTCCAGCAGGTGTCTGCTGCGTCTGCGCGTCAGCCATCTTGCCGGTGACTCGCCCAGTTGACTCAGGCGCTTGTCGCGAGTGGTTTGCAATTTGTTTTTTCGTGAGAGTGTGTTTGACTTTTCCTCAACAAAATGACCACCAACATCCAGCAAGGCTCCCTCTTGGACGTGCTCAAGAAGAAGATGAGGCAGACCAAGGAGGAAATGGAACGTTACAAGGACGAGTGCGAGGAATTCAACAAGAGACTCCAGGTGGAAGTGATGAGGAGAGAAGAGGTGGGTCTTTTTGAGATTCGAACGTGTTTTCAGGGCTGCCCGGGACACGTATGTTTCGGATAATCGTAAAAATATGCCTGAAAACTGAGTAACGCATCGGTTTGATGGCCATTTATATCGATTTCAGAGGTGGCTCTTACTCCTGCGAGGGCACCTTTTCGTACCGTTTGTTTATTTTTTATTTGCACGGATAAAGTGGATGTTGAGCTCGTTCTGGGTACCGTTATTATTGGCTCTCGAAGGTTTTCACGGGTACTTTGCTACACCGTGAGCCAAACGGTGGATGAGTTATAACGTTGACACATTCTGCATTCCATTACCAACATTGCTATGCATAATTTAGGTGTCTGTAATGACTTGAGTGATAATGTTGGCGGAGAATGTTGGTTATGACTATTTCTTAAGATTATCGTATGTTTGACAGATTATCTTAATTAAACTGGACAGTTTTGTCACAGTAAATGTCGAGGGTTGGAGAACAGTGTCGTATCTTAGGGGTTCGTGAAGGGCTCGCTGAAAATGTGAGCAATGAATGAATATGTTGTTTGTGAAGTTTCCACAAACTGGTTTAGATACAAAAAAAATTCAATCATCTATTTATTACGTTTGCGTTTTTGTTATCGTATTTTTCCTTATCAGTAGGTAAATATACTTATGATACCAACGTATAGTGATAGTAAAATTTTCAGCCAGATAATAAATGAAGTTTTTCCTTTCAAGGAGTCAAAAGGAAAGTTGGTAAAATCTATGATGGTTTCAAATGAATTTTATTCATAAATCGTTCTATTTATTCTTTTAAGTTAATTGTGAGAGTTTCTAAAAATGATCAGATATTTTGAAAACCTTTTTGCTGATAGAAATCTACAAGTACTTATATCTGATTTTTATGGAACATCCGTGTCATATACAGGTATATGCCTCAGAATGTTGGAACTAGGTGGAAAACTGTTTTATTGGTCATTTGCGACAAAAAAAGTTATTTGTCATTACACTTTGTTCAAAAACTAAAAGCGAAAGTAAAACTATCCGTTATCAAATTATTTCAGTCATATACGAAATTTGTCAAACGATATAAACTTTCCTCAAGAGTGAAATAGGTAGGTATACCTTAATTTTGACAATATTGAAAATTGATATTACAATAATCAACACTAAATATCAATTTTTGTAGTTTTTACCAATATTTCTAGTGTGTAAATTGATTTTAAATCTGTTAATTTGAATAATGAATATTTACATTTGCGATGAACATGATAACCTCTTTTTTTAATTTTTCCTAACAATTTCACAAGTACAATAATAAAAGTTATATTTAAAGATAAGTTACGAGAAATAAAATAATTATAAATTATTGCAATTGCATATTTCAGTTAACATTTTCGATATTCTCAAAGAGGTAAGTATTTTACTCTAGCAAGATTTGTATTTGTTTGGCAAACCTTGTAAATGAATCAAATAACGGATGGTTTTATTCTAGGCTAATCCTGATAGAGAATAATTTTTCTCCTTGAACTGATAATGAAAAAGTTTTCCATATATAGTCCAATTTTTGATATTAGGATTCAAGGTAACTGAAGAAGGATTATGAATTTTCGGAATGTCGGCTAGTGGATGGTTTTTCAAAGTTTTTTTATCAAAATTACAAAATAATATGATATTTCGAATTTTAATGATTGATTGTGTTTCAACTCAATCCAGTTGAATCGAGTAAAGTTTATAAATTACTGTATATAGTGAGGTAGGTATCTTACAAAAATATGGTTGCAGGTACATAAAAATTTTACAGTACAGCATGTCGAATCTAGGAAGAGACCAGAAAATTTTCACAACCCTTTGAAGGACAAAAGAGCAAATGTACGATCTTACCGTCTTCTAACGCGCGTTTAGTGAACGGGAACGAAATTTATGAAGCTCTTTCTGCATTTGACAAGCTGTAGCTTCCCGTTTCAAACAGTTTTTTCTAAAATACCTGTAGAATAAAGTGGTCATATAAGTACCTATTTGCCATCCTATTCGGTTTGAAAAATTCCAACAAATCTATTCTGTTGAATTCCACACATTTCACATAATTGGAGAACTTTTGAAGAGCACACCTTAGACATAACCTCCAAATGTAACTAAAAATATAATCGGGGAACTTGAAACTACGAAGCATAAGGGATTAATAAAATCGATCGATAGACAATTGGGCTCGAACCAACGTTCAAATAGCGGTCGATTGAATGAGTAGAACGAACCTCTTACGCTAACCAACCGACTATCCTCCAAAGTTTATTTCGGAAGCTAACTGGAGTCTAGAGACGGCTGTTTTACTTCAGACTGACGTGTTAAGGGAACTTATTGACATTTCTAACTCCATGCAGTCACATAATAAACCCAGTGCTTTAAAAGAATATACAAAGATGGCGATACTAGCATTGTATGCATATGATTTCAGTCAACCCTTAGCTTCAAGAGACACGAGTAGAAATTTCACAGCTGACGGACTATTTAATTGTGGGATAGAACATTTTGGGTGAAGCGACTTTTGTCAGTTTGAAGAAAATGGATGAAAATAAATTCCGTATGTTGAAGCATTGCCTAAAGATGTCAAAAGAACGAGTTGGACATATCGTACATGAATATTTGGAATTTATGCGTCAATATGTGACAATGGATGAAATATGGTTCCATCATTTCACAACGCAATCAAAACGCGTCATCTGAGTGGATTGCGGATGGTGAACCGACGCCAAAGCGGCAAGGTTATGGTGTCAGTATTTTGGTATTCATAAACCTATTAGACATAAATGTGAGTTTCGGGTAACAGATTTCTTGAAACTGCGAAGCATAAGGGATTAATAATCGATCGATAGACAATTGGGCTCGAACCAACGTTCAAATAGCGGTCGATTGAATGAGTAGAACGAACCTCTTACGCTAACCAACCGACTACCCTCCAAAGTTCATTTCGGAAGCTAACTGGAGTCTAGAGACGGCTGTTTTACTTCAGACTGGCGCGTTGAGGGAACTTACTGACATTTCTAACTCCATGTAGTCACATAATAAACCCAGTGCTTTAAAAGAAGATACAAAGTTGGCGATACTAGCATTGTATGCATATGATTTCAGTTAACCCTTAGCTTCAAGAGACACGAGTAGAAATTTCACAGCTGACGGACTATTTGTTTGTGGGATAGAACATTTTGGGTGAAGCGACTTTTGTTAGTTTGAAGAAAATAGACAAAAATAAATTCTGTATGTTGAAGCATTGCCTAAAGATGTCAAAAGAACGAGTTGGATATATCGTGCATGAATATTTGGAAGTTATGCGTCAATATGTGACAATGGATGAAATATGGTTCCATCATTTCACACCGCAATCAAAACGCGTCATCTGAGTGGATTGCGCATGGTGAACCGACGCCAAAGCGGCAAGGTTATGGTGTCAGTATTTTGGTATTCATAAACCTATTAGACATAAATGTGAGTTTCGGGTAACAGATTGTCAGAACTGTCAACAAGCTCGTCTGCCCATCTAGTAGTCTGTCTGTAGACCGTTTTGGAAACTACGTCAATGTGCAAAATTAATATGTTTGCCATCTGTAGATTTCAAATCGAAAGTGTATTCGTTCCATCTTTGAACCAATGTCGTCCTATGCCCAAAAGGGGAATAAATTACTCTATAAATCGTTTTTATATACAATAGCTCGGCCTCTTTACTATGTTTAGCTGCGATTCCTTCGAAATAGCTATTTGCCAATATTTATTGTTTATCAGTATGTAAACAGAACGTGGACAAGGTGCGTCGTTATGCATTTTTTCTGCCAGGATGTTTTTCTTGTGATAAACGAAGAATAAGTTTTTTTCTCTTGATAATAAGTGTCGTAATTTGTCGATAAGTGTAATAACATTCTGAATCGAAGTCTAGTCCGATAACAACGACATATAGCAGTCTTTTCATCGCAGGAATACATGATTGTTGATTAATAATAATAATAATAATGTTTATTCAAGGAAATAGTTCATAAAGAAAAACAGTGTTACATGAATAATGAGTAAACATTGAAAACATCACGGAAGTATTCAAGATACTTGTATGTGATGATGCTAGAACAAACAAACAAATATATACATACATATATAGTGCACATAACCGTAAACACTAACTGTTTCACACATCTAATATATCTACTACTTATATATCAGTATACACATATAACCAGCAGAGCCACTTAACAACTGAATAGATTTGTTCCCTCCGTCAACCGGTCACACCTCTACGAGCAACCCTCAGAAGTCTTCGACAAACTTGTACGAGCAAGGGAAGACGGGGGTCCTAT